AAATAAAACACCATGAAAAATAAAATTTCTTCAAGCCTATAAAGTACCAACTATAACATTGCATATTAGCAGACCAACAAAAACCATTTTCTTTAGCTTCTTTTCTATTTCATTTTAATACCAGAGGACCAGGAAATTTAGGGAGATGAGAGGTCTGAGGTCCAGGGGAGCCACTGGTAGCTTGGGCTGTACTTCTTGTATGTGAAGTTCAAGAGCAGACTTGAAAAGAAATTTTGAATTTTCTCGAACACTCAAGTGGATACTGCTTTGATTAATTTTGTGAGTGCTATGGTAATTGGAGGACATTTTATTTGACATAGTTGCTTTGTGTAGCCATAGCTGGCCTAGAACTTATGTAGATCAAGCTGGTGTGCAACTCATGAGTTCTACCTGTCTCTGCCTCCTGAGTGCTGCAATCAAAGGTGTATACCACCACACTAGTGATATTAGTCTTTTGAATTAAAATGAATCACAGTATTACCACTGCAATACATTCAAAAATGTTGTTTATTCATTCTTGATAAACTTTAACTAGTAAGCAAGGATGTGGAATGAATCAATTTAGTGAGAAACTGAGCCTCTTTTGACAATCTGGAAGCCTTTGCCTGGAAGATTCCAAGTGAATGATTATAAACAGTGTCTAGGAGAGTGGTTTTCAAGGATGGTTACAAACATCCTATTTATGAAGTCCTCTACAGAGTGATTCAATTAAGTTCCTGTCCTCAAAAGCTTGTGAACTTATATGATTGATTGAGTATTTCGACTAGAGGAGAAACTAGTCATTTGTGTAGGAAGTTGGGATTTTTTTTAAAGTATGTTAATTTCCTACATACTAATATTTAATATTGTTATATTCTAGTTGTTCATGTAATTAGCCAAAAGGGAAGCAAAATTGCATAGACATAAAAGCAAAAAGCAAAATAATGTTTTTTAAATTTGTGTTTTATGTGTATAGAATCTGGAGTTATAAACAGTTGTAACTGTATGAATGCTGGGAATTGAATTTGGGTCCTCTGGAAGAGCATAGAGTACTCCAAACCACTGAGCCATCTCTCCAGCTCCAAAATCATGTTAACATTATATGGTTATATGCCTGACAAAACAGTGGCACCGAAATGGAAAATCTGTTATAAACAAAGCTTTTATAAATAATAGAAAAATATTAAAAATGGGAAAATGCAGTTACATCTCAGCTAATATGATTGCTATACAAGATGACCAATTTGAAAATAAGAATTGTGATACTCATTTTTACTAACACCAAATCCTATAAAATACCCTAGAGTAAATCAGCAATGCATCAAGCCTACTAAGTAAAACTTCAAGACCCTACTAAAAAGGTAGAAAGTAAGCCCAAGAAAATAGAAATACAGAATCTACTTTTTGGTGTGGAAGGTTTAACTCAAGAGATGTCAATTTAAGTTAATGTTAACAGAATCTCAATTCAAAAGGCAACACGAATTATAGTATTTGTAGGAAAGTGGAATCAAGAGTGATGATATTAAGCCTATAAAATACACAAGGTATAAATGATAAAAGCTTGAATAGTCAAAGCAGTTTGTTACTAATGTTACTAAGTTAATTTAACAGCTAATGGAATCATAGAGTTCACATAGTCAAAAGTGGCTTCCCTGGTCCACATGACTGCAGTTTCCTGCCTGGACTCCTTGCAGTAGCTGGCTAAGTAGCTGTCCTGTGGCTATACTTAGCTCTGCATAACCTGACCTCATCAAAGTAGTAAGAATGATTGTTTGGGGGCATGAAATGAAGCCAGGTATGGTGGTACATGTAATTCCAGTGCTCAGAGTGATACAGAGAGATGGCAAGTTCTGGCCAGCCTGAGGTATGTAGTAAGACCAAGTCTCAAAAAGGAAAAATGTGGGGGAGGGCATTCAAATAAAGGAACACCTCCATGAGAGCTCTGCTGTGGCACCTGTTTCACCGTACATACTAACCAGACACCTGTACTGGCTTCATGGCCTCCCTAACCTGGCCTTGAGTAATTTTAGGTAGTCTCTGAACCATGCTGGGTTCTCTGATGCATCTTGAATATACCCATATTCTACCTTAGAAGATATCTCCTCCAGAAATCTTGTTTCTTTGAATAGCTAAAGGCTAACTCCCCAACCTCCTTCAAGTCTTTGCTTAAGAGTCAAATTTCAGTACATTCCTTTGACTGTCCTTTGCTGTTGGATGGTCTGTATGTCAAATCTTTTGCTCTGATTGGTCAGTAAATAAAACACTGATTGGCCAGTGGCCAGGCAGGAAGTATAGGTGGGACTAACAGAGAGGAGAATTAAGGGAACAGGAAGGGAAAGAGAGTTACTGCTAGCTGCCGCCATGACAAGCAGCATGTGAAGATGCCGGTAAGCCACGAGCCACGTGGCAAGGTATAGATTTATGGAAATGGATTAATTTAAGCTATAAGAACAGTTAGCAAGAAGCCTGCCGTTGCCATACAGTTTGTAAGCAATATAAGTCTCTGTGTTTACTTGGTTGGGTCTGAGCAGCGTTGGACTGGTGGATGACAGAGATTTGTCCTGACTGTGGGCCAGGCAGGAAAACTCGAGTTACAGTCCTTTTTCTCTCACTTGGTGTGGGTGATTGCCCTTACTCCCTCCTCCCATGTGGTGGTGTTTTCCTTCTCATACAACAGATCATTGGTGAGTTTTGTTTACTCACTAGTAGATTCTAGGTGGCTATATTATGTTGAATCAATTAATAAATTGCACAGGGAGAAAATTGGAAAAATAAAGGGTGTGTGTGTGTGTGTATATATATATATATATATATATATATATGTAAAATAAATGCCTATACTTTTCAAGTGCTTGTAAGTGCATACTATACTTGCAGAAGAATAGCAGAAGCATTAATCATGGTTGACTTAGAGAAAGAGTTCAAAGAATAAGAGGAATGGTGCATTCAAAGCCACTAGAGCCTGAACCTGTTGCTTCTTTGTTAAAATATACAGTGTACAGTTGAGCCTAATTCTGGAATTAAAAATTCCTCTTAAAGTTGAGGCTCAGCTATTGAGCGCCTTCAAAAGTGTTTATTTGTTGAGCCACACAAGGTGTTCCGTATCTACTGTAAGCTCTTAAAGAAGCCCTGACAACGTCACAGCTTTCCAGTTCCTTTAGCTCTCTGTAGCTCATTGTCACTAATAGTCCTGAGCTATTTCCTTATAGATAATAGAACATCTGTTCAGTTTTATGTGGAGATTTTCTTCACTGTACAGCTTCTTAACATCATGCTAACTTCAGTGTTTCAGAGAGATCTTAACTATTAAAAACTAGCATATATATTCTAGACAAGGCCTCTCTACATAGTCGTGGCTGGCCTAGAGATCCCTATGTACAACAGGCTGACTTTGAACTCACAGAAATCCACTTGCCTCTGACTCCTGAGTGCTGGGGTAAAAGTATTAAAAGTGTATTACCATGCCCACCCAAATATTCTTAATTTAGAATTTATAGTATGAAGGCCAGCAGCATGTTTGAGTGGGTAAAGATGTTTGTCTCCAAGCCTGATGACCCCAGTTTGATCCTCCGAACTCACATGGTGGGAAGAGAGAACCAGGCCCTTTAAGTCATCCTTCAACTTTCACACATGTGCTGTGGCTCACACACACACAAAATATGTGAATGTAAACATTACAGATTACAGTTAGCAAATTGAATTGCCTACATTTTCATCTTTTTAAACTGAGAAATAACTTAGCAAATGAATGAAATTCACATATTGTGTGTATGAAAGTATATTTTTATTTGATTATATTCTTTTACTGCTTTAATTCTGGACCAGCGATTGCCCAGAACCACAGTTGAGAAATATTTTCTGAATGCTCACAATACTCAGTGAGGTGTCAGGCCAGAGGTACTGTGTAAGATACAAAGATAAATATACACTGCCTTCATGGGCCTTTATGATAGTCATGGCCACAGGTAACTATGACACATGTCAGAATGTAAAAAATCATTAAATGACAATGCTGGGCATAGTTGGAGCAGATAGTTGATATTAGTTTGGGAACTACAAAAATAATATGACATTTGAAAAGGGCTTTGTATACAGCTTCATTCTATGAGTTGAGAGGCAATGTTGTAGAGGTTGAAATTTCTGTGCAGATACTGCATAATCTTTTATCAAAGACAAGCCTAAGACCCTTATGCATAGGTGGTAAATATGTATTTGTAGAATGAATATTTATATTCCCCTTGATGGCATTTTCAAAAAGAAAATTATGTCATGCATTTTATCAATTGTAACATTAAAAGACATGAAAACCTTCCTAGCAATTAAGAAACTTTGGAAAAATTGCTGTATTAGATGATTGATATTTTTAACTCAGATTCTTTTGTTCAGTTTTTTTAAACATCTAGAAGATGTGATATGTCTTATTAGAATAGCACACAATGAGTTTTTATTATTCTAAAAAACCATCATCTGTTGTCTCACTTAATACTCATGAAAACTCAGGTGTTAGCTGCTCATATTCACATATTATAGATGGAGAGGCTGGGGTACAGAAAGCTTAAGAAATGTGCGTGTGTGTGTGTGTGTGTGTGTGTGTGTGTGTGTGTGTGTGTGTGTGTGTGTGTAGAGGTCTGTCTTAATGCCCAAATGCAATAGAATTCGTGTTTTTACACTGCAAAGATGGCTTTGTCATTTTCTATCACTCTGTTGTCATTCTCTGTTACTTAAAGTGAGGTTAGTGTTAGTTCAATCAGATGTGTTCATGTTGACTGCCTGCTACCCTGGGAGCATGTGAGATGCATCATATGATCTTAATAAAGTGGTTATTAACTTGCAAGATTCTCATAACATTGCTAAGTTTTAAAACAATGAAATAATAGTCAGATACTAATGCCAAAGTGATAATATTATACAGTGCTCAAATTAGGCTCAGTTCCAACAAATAGTTAAAGTGTAGATTCTAAAACAAAATTAATATTTAGAAATAAACATTATTCATTGCCTGGATTTATTCATTTATATAGACGGCAGAATGTACACATAGGAAGAGGTGGTATAGAAGTGCCCTTGAGGAGGCGGACCAGCTCTACAGGCGTTCTCCTGAGCAAAGACTAGAGGTGTGCTGCCGATCAAAACGGGGTATGTGCAGTTTCTTTCTTACCATCCAGTCAGAACCCCTAGATGTATGTATTCTAAAACATGTTTGCACATTTAAAAATTCGTGTCTTTTCTTCAAATACAAATGTTGTTTCTGTTCATTGTAAAAGAATTTTCAAATGAATTAACAGCGATATCTTGTCCTCCAAAATTATTCTCCATGACTAAGCTCTGTTTAAACACAATCACTGTAATTAGTGTATCCTGGTATTTTATTTACTCTTAGACTTCATAGGCCATTATTTCAAAACATGTAATTCAAAAATTAGGAACCATAGATTTAAAATGTATTCCTAGTATGATAATTTTACATAGGTATGCTCGGTTTTGTATTATTATTATTTTTTTTGACAATACAGTGTTTTCAAAATGCTTGATTTTAAAATAAGTTAAAAGCAGGGGTGAGCTATATACTCACAATTTAAAAATTGTTTTTATTCTATTTTTCATTATCTATTATGGACACACCATGGTGTGCTTGTGGAAGTCAGAGAACAACTTGAGAGAATCAGTTAACTTATTTATCAGTTGGTTCCTAAGGATCAATCCAACTCAGGTCAAAAGGCAAGCGTCTTTACTGGCTGAACCATGTCATAGGTTCACAAGCATTTTTTAATTAAAATTATTTTCTCCTCATACATAACTGCATATTACGTTTATGAAAATCCCTCCTGGCTCATCTGATCGAACTCCTTCCAGGTCTCTCCTTCCCATTTTCCTCCCAACTTCATGGTATCTATCTATCTATCTATCTATCTATCTATCTATCTATCTATCTATCTATCTATCTATCTATCTACTCAGTCAGTCAGTGTTGCCCACATGCACAGAGATTTAGGGCTATCCATTGTAGCATTAGCAACATACTAGGGTCTCTGTCCCTGACAAAAACTAACTTTATCTCCCCTGGCATCTGTCAGCTACCTGTAGCTTCTCAACTAGGAGTAGGGCCTTGTGATCAACCCACTTCATGCTAGGTTGACCTTGTGCAGGTTCACAGCTGTTTATGAGTACAGCTGCTTGTCACATCCAGAAGACACTGTTTTGTAACAGCCCTCTTAAAATCTTTCTGCCTCTGCCCCCTTGGCCATTATGTTCTCAGAACTTTGGGGGAGGAGCAGTGACATAGATGTCTCATTTAGGGATAAGGAGTCCACGGTAGTTACTCTTTACATCATTTTTGTTCTTTCTGTTAACTTAAGTCTATTGCAAAAAGGAGCTTCTCTAATGATGGAGGACTGAGCTGGACTACCTATGGGTGGAAGTGTTTAGGAGGCAGTTAGATTCTGTATCAGTTTAGCAAGACGGCAGTAGTAGGTTCTCCCCTAGGATCTATGACCCCTCAAGCTGCAAGTTTTGGGCCAGGTTTACTGTACCAGGTGTGAGTTTCCTTCTGTTGATCAGTCCTTAAATCCAATTAGATAGCTGTTTGTTATGCCTTAAGACATTCGTGCTGCAATTATGCCAAAGGAAGGGTATAACTTGCCAGAGGAGCCCATAGGTTCACAACTGGGCAAGACTGTTGGTACCTTTTATCTCACAGCCTAGCACCTCATAGCCTAGGAAAAGCTGGCCTTAAGGAGGGAGGCTTCTAGATTGATACCAGCCTGTGACCAAAGCATGTGGCATTTTCTGCCATAGGTTCTTACCATCAACTTCTGGTGAGCAACCAAGGGCAGTGGCAATACCTCCTCAAACTACTTTAAAAATTATATTACAAGCATAATTCTAATGCTTTCAAGCTTAATCTAGTGTTCATTATACATTATATTAAATACATCAGGTATTTTTACTATACATCGGGTCATTTTCAGGAAATGTTCTTGAATCATAGATGTTATGGTTTATATGCATAGCCTTTAAACTCACTCATGTGAGGGCTCAGTTGGCATGGCACACTTAACTTAAGATTATGGTTGTCCCATAAAATAATTATAATAAACTCAAATATGTTTTAAAATATTTTTTGTCCAGTGATTGCAGTAATTTTATACTCTCCACAGACTTGTGTCTATTACCTTAAGTTTGAAAGCAGGGTCCTTTGTAGGAAGATCAGACCTTCACCTGAACCCTACAGTAATCATGAAGCTTTTTCTCCATTGGAAAAACTTCATGTATATGCTCAGTAAATTTGTGTGGGAAGCTAAACCACCTAAGTTTAGGTTTTAAAGTGATCCAGTTCACTATCAGACCAGAAGAGACACTGACTTCTGCAGACATGACTCATTTCTTACACTGAAAATGCCATTTGCCAGCAGCACAGGTCCAACTCGATGTGTTGTCAAAGTACAGCTCTATCCGTGTGCAGTCAGTTTTCTTGTTCAACCACACAGGCTTCGAAACATTTCATCCTTAAATAACATAGTCACTTAACGGAAGGAGGATTGCATCTCTTCCACTAGCACTACCGTGCTCTCTTGGTGGGATGGACTGTCTTGGTCATCAGTATGCTGGGTACTTGTCTCCTGCTCTTTGACATTTCCCCTGTCCCAAGAGCCTCAGAACAATAATTCTCTGGTTGGTTCTGTAGCAAAAATGAACTCTCTTACTAAAAGTCTCATGACTTTTATATGCAGAATTTGATGTAATTCAGCCTGACTTTTGAGAGCCATGACCTTAGGACTCCTTTTTGTCCTTGAAGTAGCCAGTGCAGGAGGTAGAGACAGATATCTAAGGGTTATGTCTTTGCCAACACAGGATTGCTTTTCTAAACCTGCAGCCTCAACTCAAAAATAGTTGATTCAATCTCTGATTTTCCTTAGCACCCAGTGTGGAGTTGGGTATAGTAGTATTTAGCTTCTTATTGTATCCAGAAACAGTTTTCAGAGGTAAGCCAACATTTAGGTATTTCACTATGGGGAAGTAGCTTAGAGGCCACTTGGGAGACTTTCCTCTGACAGTTTATACTCCAACCTAGAACTAATTACTTTAAATAGTCAATGTTCTTTTGATTTGTAACAATTGGCACTCTATAGTTTTTGATGCAGCTTCTTTATCTAAAATGTGCATGGTCATTAGATGATATGTATAAAGGACTCCGACAGTGAATTTAAGGTTCTGATTTAATTGCCCCCTTTGTTGTTTGTTTTATTTAACTAACACTCCAACTTAGTAATTCTTTTGCTGAAGCTTGAAAACTTGATGATTGTCTCCTCTTTCTCTCCCCCCCTCTCTCTGTCTATCTGTCTCTCTCTCTCTGTCTCTCTGTTTCTGTCTCTCTCTCTCTCTCTCTCTCTCTCTCTCTCTCTGTGTGTGTGTGTGTGTGTGTGTGTGTGTGTGTGTGTGTGTGTGTGAGTAAATCAAATACCAAAAGACTCGCATTTGCTAGGCACTACCTAGCAACTACAAACACTACCAGTTCGCTACCTGCTTAGCCCTGTGCTCTACGTTTGGAGTGGATTTGCCTATTTCTAACTTTTCCCCAAGAATTACTCATGTTTTTACAAAATAGACTTCCATGTTTAGAGCACCTTGGGTTCACAAAAATTGGGTGTAAGTACAGTTTCCATATACCTTCTGTCCACTCGGAATTCAGTCTCTCTCCCAGTTACACCCCACACTATGTGATTTGTTGTAATTAGTGAACTTACCTTGACACATCCTTGTTACCTCCAGAGTTCATCGTGTACCTGAGGGTTCACTCCAGGTTCACACTCTGTGTTTTGACAGGTGTAATCTCATGTGTCCATCATTGTCCTACTGCACACGATAATTTCATGGCCTTAAAAATCCTGGTGTCCTAGCTATTCATCTCTTCTCCCTGCCAACACTCAGCCACTCTCTCCATTGAGACTGTCCTATCACTGTCTCCACAAATTTGCCTTTTCCAGAATGTCTCATGATTGGAATCATAAGTAAATCACCCTTCCACATTGGCTTCCTTCCTATAGTAACATACACTTGTTTCGTCTTTGCATGAGTCTGTAGCTCATTCCTTTTAGTGCGGAGTAATATTCTACTTGTGTACATACTACAATTTCCATCATTCATCTACCTAGAAACACCAGGATTGCTTCAAGTCTCAGTAATTACTGGCAAATGTCATTTTTGGTGGCCATGAAACTTCAACCCCCTTTAATAAATAATAAGAAGCATGATTGCTGATACTGTGTTGAAGACATGCTGTTTTCAATGTTGTGTTAGCAGTGACTGAGAATCCCTGTTGCTCTGCATACTCTCAGCACTGTGTTACAATTGACATTCTCTAAAGTGGGTGTCATCTCAGGAGGTTTTTGAGGGCCCTGGTTTTCACTGGTGCTCAATACTGTCATATCCATATTTGTTCCTTTGTGTTTTCTTTGCTGAAGTGTCTTTTCAGGTCTTTTGGCCATTGGTTATTTATTTATATGGCAGTCTTCCAGCCTTAGCCTCCAAATGCAGGGGTTATAGGAATGCAGCACCATGCCCAGCCAACCTAACCTTCCTCCCACCCCTCCCTTCCTTTTTTATTTCTTGTCTTTCTTCACTTTGGTTAGTTTCTCTTAATATAGTCTCAAGCCTAGATCTTCATTCCCTAGGCTGCATCCTCTTTACTGATCAAGCAACAAAGTCATTCTTCATCCTGTTACGGTGACTTCCATCCTTTTTGACTTAGAAGTTTCATGTTTCTATGTATCACCATCTGCTTTTGCTGTTTTAGCTTTTAACATTAGATTTCTTAGCATGATAAACATAATTATTTCACATTAGTCATCTGATAACTCTACCACATCGACCATATAGGTTCTATCTGTCTGATCTATCTATCCATTTCTCAATCTCTCTTCAAAGTTGTTAATTTTTTTACCTTTAGCATGACCTATAATCTTTTATTGAAAGGTGAGTGTGGTATACTGTTTAACAGGAACTTTAAGCTTGGCCTTTAGTCAGCTGGATAGTGCTCAGGTGTGGGGGTTGAGGGAGCATTCTGTAGTCCTAGTATTACGTCTCAGTTCTAGGCTGTGAACTTGACAAGACCCCTCCCCATGTTTCTTATTTATTCATTACATTGTAGAGGACAACTACAGTTGGCTACAGTTGTGTATTTTACTCCCCCCACAATGAGTAAGGCTCTGAAAAAATTCAAATGCTTTGGACAGTAGTAAGATAGCTTCTTTAGTGGGCAGATCTTGTTAAGAACTCTGGGTGAGTTTTCTCCAGCTTTCTCCATGAGAACTTGGTGGAACTTCCTCCACGAGCAAGAACTCACAGAAGAGTTCCAGGTCTCCTACCCTGCCCATGATGGGTTTTGTTTCACAGCTTTGTCCACATTTAGTCTCCAGGGCTGTGCCAATTAAGGTTCAGATTTTCTTATCCCTAGACTGATTGTCATGTAACATTCTGTCTACATGTTTCTGCTCAGGTAAATCCTAATTCTCTACATTGATCTGTTTCTCCCAGATTTGGGAGCAAAAGTATGCCCCAAGAAACTCTCTTCTTTCGTGTATCTAATTATGGATTTTCAGTTAGCCTTTAACATAATGAGATGTAGCAACTTTTACGTTCCTTATGTACCTGACCAGAAGCTGGCCTGTCTTTCACCTTTGGAAGAAGGCACTTTCAGCTGCCACACTTGAAGAAGCTGAGAGTCACAATTTTATGAAGGTCATGGATGGTATTAAACAGCCACTGCATATAAACTTCATTATTAACTTTGATGACTAGCCCAATTTTGCATAATGTTTAGACATATGCAAAAATCAGAAAAAGGTGGAGATTTCTCCTAGTTGGAGGAGTTGCCTGTAATAGTGAATAAATAGTCTGTGTGTTCTTAAATGAAGGAAAATGGTGTTTGTTGGAGGAGGGTTATCATAAGCATTAGGGGATACAGGAAAGAGGGCATTTCACATGTGTAAGCCAGTGGTACATATAAATACAACATACTTCCCTGGGTGTTTGTTTTCTGCCAGTTCTTAATATTCTTTGATAACTTCATACATGTGTACAATGGTACATGACACATACATTCCCTATTTCCCCCTCCAACTACTCCTGTATGTCCCAACATCTCCCTCCTTTAACATGTTTCCTTTAATTGCCCACTATGTCCAATTAGTGCTGCCCATAAGTGCATGAGTGTAGGCATCCATGGGGCATAGGAAACTTCCCAGTGGCCACATATTCAGAGAAGAATGATTCTCTGTCAGGTTTTTACCAACATATGCACATACATTCTGTAGTCCTAATATTAGGACTCCATGTATATTGTATATACCAAAATAATATCCTGGAATATTTTCCATGAGCTAGTTTGCTACTAAATATTCTGGTTTCAGTGGTAGTCTGAGGAATGGTACCAATGTCCGCTTTCTTGTGGAATCTTAGCTGATGCAGTTCTGGTACCTCAGTGGTCCCAAATGGAAGCAACAGACACCCTGGGCAGAATAGGGGCTTGTAATCAAATGGGTCTACTCTGCCAATGCAACCACAGGCAGTGTGCTGGGGTATTGATTTCCTCAGTTGTACAAGGAAGATGGACTGCATGCCTTTCAATGTTATATACAGTTTATATGATACTCTTATCCACTATCCAGCATATAACAGGTATGCAAGTAGAGATACCATGGACTTAATTCTAGAGTCTATGTACTGTAGAATGCACAGACTGATCAGAAACCAGAAATTAGGCAGACTGGATGCTAGCTAATAAAATTTAAAGGACATTCATCAGATAAGAGTTCCTTCTTGATTTTATGGCTTTTGGATTACTGAGCTGTACTCAACTCTGAGGAGGTAAATTTATTAGTATTTAGTTCAAAGGGCCACTGAAACAGTCCTGTTACTAATGTGTGATAAAGTAGAAAACTCTAGTTTTGTACTTGTATACCTATTTGAACAGAAGGATGAGTTCTTTTTTAAAGTAGACATATTGTATTATCTTACAGATAGAGCCAAAGCAGGTGCTAAAGCTGCTGTGGTGGCCAAGAAAAGGGTAAGACCATGTTTCAAAGTTAACTTCAAATTCTGTTTTTCAAAGAAAGATAAATTACTAAAAAGAAAAATCATATGTAATCTGACTTTTTATTCTAAAGTTTAGTTGAGTATGCATTTGCTTTCTTAGGCTGACCATAAACAATATTTGTGATGATTTCCGTTAATTTTATGGAATTAGGGCAATAGAAACACAAATGGACAAAGGAGCAAATACTTTTATTTAAATCATATTTCACATATACACTCATAACAATATATATTGTGTTACTGTAACACATGAGAAAATTAATTTTCTTCTAGAAAGTTTAAACAATTAAAGTCTATAACTTAATATGACTTAAACTTAAGTAGAGAAAAACATTGAACAACTAAATAAAGTTCCAGATAGAATATTTTCATGGAAGCTTTAAAACCAAGTACATTTACAAAATACATTATTTTGAATATTATATGTGGAGTAGTGTTGAACTCTGTTTACTGTGCAAAATATGATTAAGATATTGGCAATCTCAGATGACAGTGTCCAATTAAAGGACATCCCTGAAGTAGAAAATGAGAGGTTGCTTAAACGTACACTTGGACACATAATGCATCAGTGACATAAGAAATAAAAAAGAAGAGCCTGTGATGTGATTGCCTGGGTTCATGGCTGAGCTCAGGGAAGGGCAGATCAGAGATGGCCAGGTGGACTCTGGTAGGGTTATTCTGCATGAGTCTAGAGATCATTTGTCTATGAAAGATCAGATTTTGATTTTTCATCATTGTTCATGGTTTGCTTTTTGTCTTTAGGCAGGGTCTTGGTAGGTAACTCAGGCTGGCCCCAGACTCACTGGCCTGGAACTCCTGCTTCTTATTCTTTAGTGCTGGAATTATAGGGGTGTAATACCTCATCCAGTTACATTTTAAAATTTTTATCCTTTTGCTTTTGGGCCTATAAGAGGGATCTTGTCTTTGCATGTAAAGCAAGTCTGCTACTTCTGTGCAGGAAGGAGTTTGGTGTCCCAGAAGACAAAGCTGTCATCTGTAAGAATGCAGGGCAGGTCCTGTGTGCGCACTGTGGGTTGGCAGAGTGTGTAAGGCAGTGCAGCCTTGCCACTGCATGTGTGGACAGAATTAGTTATTTCAGTGTCTTCTAATGCACATATAGAATCAAAGGTTATAAAGACATTAACTATTTCTGTATATAATTTACATTTAGCATTATCCCCAGAAGGGCAACATTAGACTTAGGAAAATGCTACTCATTATAAATATGAGTGAAAAAATGAAACACATTATCTCATACAACTAACTAGTAAAATGTCTTGAAAACATGGATAAGTACATAAAACTTATTTGATATTGAAAATATAAATTTAGTGTGAGGCTCTACAGCTTCTGTTCAGATGCCTTGGGACTGGTTCATTTTAGTGTGTGATGTTTTTACTTATTTGCAGGTTTTAATAATAAATCTTATAAAATTAAAACATTATTGATAAAAACAAATGATAAAAGTAAACCAGGAGAAAAATGTAATGTCTGTCTCAAAAGGCCAAATGAGTCAATTCCTACTTTCCCAGTGCTCTGACTCCTCCATCCACTTTTCCTGATGAGGATTGCAAGCTGGGCTCTGGGGTGGACCTCTGGTTAGTTCCATGTTGCAGACTCCCCTTACAGGACTGGCAGGGAGTATTTCCCATGCTACCAGGGACATACTTCCTCTGAGCAGCTGTCAGCCCCTGCATGGTCGTGATGCTAGTGCTTGCTCAGCACATATGATGAATATATCATTTCCTCCTCCTCCTGTTTCTCAAGCCTGTTGAAATAGGTAGGCTGGGCTCTTTCTAAGGCCCTTTCAGGTGGAAAACCTTATAAGCTGAGGCTCACAGGTGTCTGTGACAGCTTCAAGATCTCACTGGGTTCCATCCCCAGGTATCCAGAGGCTCACCCCAGGCCCTTTCCATTAATCTGCTCTATACAACCAGACCCAGGAAAGATGCCATTTTTGTCTATTGACAGCTTTTAAAACTTTTATTTTTCTCCAAAACTCCCCTTTATAAAAGCATAAATCACAGACAAGCAAAGAAGAAATACTTGTTCAAGCAAAATTGGAGATATTAGGAATTTTTGTAGGTACTTTGGGTTATATTAGTTTTAAAGAATACAAGGAAGTTTATTGGGAAGAGCCTGGAGCATTAGATACACTGAATTGCATGGAACAGATTGTGCATGAAGTGCCTAACACTTGGACTGACTTGTGGATGGCCAAACTTCAAATGTACATATTGTACTAATAAAATAGTACTGAAACTTCTTATATTACATCAACAGACAAAGTGCTTAGAAGTGTTATTATGGAAGGAGAAACTAACATAGACTAGACATTATTCGTGAAGTTATTGAAAGGTTTGCTTTCCTCAATATACTGTAACATTTTCAACTACATATTCAACTGGATCAAATGCAGGTCATCAGTCAGGCTTGGCAGCAAGCATCTTTACCCACTGGCCCATCTCACTGTCCCCGAGTACTTCTTTCTCAAACTCTGGCTCCCTTTAGATATCCTCAATTTCATCTTCGTCACTATCATTTCCATTTTAATTATTGTTACTTATTTTTCATATATTTATTAGACATCATATTTCTTCAGAAAACTTTATCTGTATCTTTACCCACTTCCCCTCTCCCTGTGATTTATATTATTTGTATCAATAGTTTATCAGTGTGTTATTAGTTTTTCAATTGTTCATCAAAACAGTTAGCAGTTCAGGTAATTTTCTTGTCTTGGAATCTCCAGGCTTTTGTGACCTGCTTTGAAATATTGTCACTTCATTTGCACAAACCACAATTTGTGCTTGACTTTGTTTTTCTTCTTTTGCTCTAGCCACAATGAGGAGGCACACACCAGTACAGCTTCCTCTGCTGCCTCATGTCCAGACCACTTCCTTTAGGACAATTAGAGAGTCCTGGGGAAATGCCATGTTGTTCTTTCTCACCAGCAAATGCCACAGCTGTCACCAACAAATAGCATAACAAAGATGGCTTTGCCAGTTTGTCATATTTTGTTGTTCTAATTTGCATTTCTCCAAAGTTAGTTGCTTTTGACTTCTTAGTATTTTTTATACAAATTTACATGAACTATCTGTTCATTAGCAATAAAGGTATTCACTTTTTCTCAGATTTTGCTCTATTGTATCACATGCTTTTCCTTCCTAGAAGTGTAAATAGTGAACCTTTGTATGTGGACACATGTGCTCTCAACTTTGATTACTACACTATTAAAATGCATTGGGGATAGCATGGTGGGAAGGATAGCAGTGGCACCTAGAGTTAAACTATGAGTTACAAATTCCAAGTCTTATCACTTGCTGGCCGAGTGAGCCATATTTGCTGCTTAATTCTCTAATCTTCCAGTTTCTTCTTACATGAGAATAAGAGTATTGTAGAGCAGTTTCTCTGACTGTGTTACCATCCAGTGGTTTGAGTGAGGATAATGCTTCATAGATGCTAGCTGCTAAGGGAACACGAATTTATTTCACATGTTGTGTGAACACAGGGTACAAAATGCTATCTGCAGCTTCCTAATCAGCTATCCCAAAGCTCTGATTGGATTGTAAGCAGTTTTTTCATTCTTCACTTTCATAACCTGTCTTCCTTTTAACACAGGCATTTGATATGTTAAAATATCTATTTCCATATCTATTCTTTATATTCATTAAGCAAGTTCCAAACTGCTTTATTCTCTCTGTCTTTTCTTGGATATGTGAACTAATAGTGACCCTTTATTACCCCAGTTTTTCAAAAACTTTTATTATTCTTGCCTGTTGACTTTTCAGATGAACCTTAAAATTATTTTGCCAAGAATTAGTAAGAGGAATCCTATTGAGATGGTGATTGGTATTGTAGAAAAATTGTATGTGCTAATTATGGAGAAAGTGTGTTTACTGTACCAAACCCATTAGTGTAGAAACTAAGTTGTCTCATTCAGCTTTCTCTAGTTTCCAACGAATAGTGTTATACTCCTAATTAACTTGAAACCACCTAAGTTTTACTGGTTGGAAAGAATTTCCTTTTCACTTTATCTCCTCTACCAATGTCTTTTCTTTCTTTTGTCTTTGTTTACACACAGACATTAGGCATGTGGTTATTTTTCCTAATGCTTAATACCAAGAATTTAACTTGAATAATTAGAGAAAAAAAAGCCAATGATCATTCTCTTGTGATACACACATAATGAAATATTTAGGCTATGCATTTCCTGATGAAGAAAATTCTCCAAACCTGTTACAGAAGTTCTCCCTAAAAATCAGACACTCTGCATCAGCCTGGTTAGTAAGACAACCTGGAATACTTCATGACTATATCCCTGGCCCTGCATGGGACTTGCTAAGCTCATAGTTGTTAATGTGGAATCTGTGCACTACAACTCACTGCATTTACTTAGCTTTCTGTGAATCTCCCCACCAGAGACAAGTATCATGACCAGTACTCACTGCTGGCATCCAGTCTCAGCCAGAGGGAGATCTCCAGATGAGCAGCACCAAACAGTGAGCCCGTGCAGGCACAGTCAGCCTTTAAACCTTGCTCAGTTTTTTGATTGTTATACTTGGTGCACAGTGTACACTTTTCCATAGATCATTGTTTCCTAAGCTTTGCTAATTGGGGTGTCCTGTCACTATTTTATTCTGTATTATTGCTTACTATAATTTTCTTTTAGTTATTAAAGGACAATTTTTCAACAAATTGAGTTTGAAGATCTAATTGTGTTTCATTAATGATCCTTAAGACAGTCAGCATGTCATCTGTGTGTGACAGAATGATCCCACTAGTCTCCCAGTCTGGTCAGCCCCAGACTCCAAAAGTTGTCTTCCTTGTGGTTAAGCCGAGGGGGCTTCTTCAGCATGCTATATGGCTCCTCTCACAGGTGATGCCACACCTGCTGGTTTGATCTATTCTTTGGAGGCTAGTGAAGGAACTCAGTCCACAAAAAATGGTCACTCTGGAATTTTTTTTAACCTT